TTCCCCTCACCCATCCTTCCTTCCCTCTAACCCATCCTTCCCTACCTCTCACCCAACCTTCCCTCCCTCTCACCCATCCTTCCTTCCCTCTCACCCATCCTTCCCTCCCTCTCACCCATCCTTCCCTCCCTCTCACCCATCCTTCCCTCCCTCTCACCCATTTCCTTCTCACCCATCCTTCCTTCTTTCTAACCCATCCTTCTTCCCTTCTTTTCTTTCCACCCATCTTTCCTTCCTTCTCATCCATCCTCCTTTCCTTCTCACCTTTCCTGCCTTCTGGCTGCCCTCCCGCCCCTGAGTGCACGAGGCCGGCAGCACGTCCTCTGTCACGTCCGCCATACCTAAGCCTTGAGTTGTAGGAGCCCTCAGGGCTAAAGCAGTTGGGATACTTCCATCCAGAAATGGAATGCGCTCCTCTGGAAGGTCGTTAGCTGAGCCGCAGGACCCGCCCCACCACCGCACAGCTCTGCTTCTGAAACCCTGGGTCCTAATGGCCAGCCCACACGCCCTAACTTAAAACTCACGGAAGCACCCCGGCCGCGGAGGACAAGCGACACGCCAGCTCTACAGTGGGACCCTGGACAGGTCACTCCGCCTCTTTAAACCTGTCTCCTCGTGTCGCACATAGGACACTAACCATGTTTCTCCCACTTAGTGCGAAGACGGGAGGAGAGGGCCCCTGGGCCGAGGCCTGGCGTGTCATGTTTGTGTGGCCATTACTATTATGAGGACGATGCTGGATCTACTTACTCATGGGAGAAAAAGTCAATAATTCACCAACCCCGGTACTTTATTATCATTAACAAATTCCTGGCCACATGCGTCACAACTCACAGCAAAACTCAGCACCGGAGCCGAGCTGAGCTGTCAGCGCCCTTGGAATCAGAGAAGGACAAATAGCGCGAGCAGGAAGCCTGCCCTCCCCCTGGAAACGGGCTCGGCTCGGCCCAGCGCTGCGGCTGCCATCAGTTACAAATCACACACGCATGAAACCTGCTCCCAAGGCCTCTTCCACGGAGAGCGGATGCAGGCGCACCAGGGGACCCCACACATTAAATGGTGACACCCCCAAATCCCAACATGGCCTGGCCATGTGTTTTTCCACTTCAGCTATTCTATGGAGAACCGAGAGTCTAAGGCGAGACAGCAGCAAAAAGCCATCCATCTCACATCTGCGAGGAAGTGGCCTGACTTTTCTTGCGGGGGGGGGGGGGGGGGGGGG